TGATTCCAGTTCCATAAGTACTTCCTCACACTCAGGGGGAGGTAGTGGTACCAAGAGTCTGAGTCTCTCTCCATGGTGACAGGAACAACTGGTATAGTGCTCAGAAACCTCCCATTTCATCTGGTTTAAGGATCTCTCTCTAGTATCATCTTTCTGGAATGCTCTACCTTTACCTTCTGCCTTTTCAGAATCCATTAATTTTTCTACTTTTGCTTTTATATTCCTATTAGTTTTGAGCCCCACCTCCGCGTGCATGGATCACATTGGTACCGGCTTCCACCAGGCTGTCTCCTCAACGAACCCAAGTGCGCAACTGCAGGTCTGAGCTTCATCTGCATCAGAGAAACTAAGAGTTGTTGCTGTTAAAGAGCCTCTCTGTTAATTTGCATGTAAACAATAGATTTTAAATTTCTCATTACAATAAACGAATGCTTCATGAAAAGGAGCAATTCTATTTGTTCTACAGCAGTGATTTCATTGAAAAATATTGGCACATATTTTGAAGTAAATCAACTTCTACAGTATATAATTGGGGTGAAAGTCCTTTATTAAGAACATTTCATTCAAAAATAAATAAGGAGAGCTAACAAAATCTCTTTGGTTCTTAGTATAGAATTGAACTATTTTTTTCAGCCATCTGGCCTTCTTTAAAGTTTATCTCTATGCAATAGTTTCATTTGGCTATATACAAAAAGTTTTTCTAAAAAGCACATTCCTAAGGTTCTATTTGTAACCCTTACAAATGATCCCAGGTGTTGTCTAAGGCAGACAATACCTGGTAGACAACTTGTCTGCACTGCTCGAACTGGTCACGTCACTGGTGAAGACTGGTGTAGTCCAATGAGTAAAATTAAAAAGGGAATATGTTGGTTGTAGCCAGCCAGTCTCCTAGAGCTAGCAACTGAGAGCCAGACTATGTAAAGATACTTTGTCTGTGCATCTTAAAGCCTTATAAAATTCATAAGTATACTAGTAAAAAGAATAGCACATTTCAGGAGATGGCACTTAGTCATTCTCTTAGCCTGAAAAGCTCTAAGTACTCATTGGCACTCTGGGGTTGTTTCTCAATAATAAATATGTCAGAGAACATTTGTCAGATGCATCCTATTGTAGGTAGTCAAACATTCTGAAATGCTAGAGAGTAAGTTTAAAAGTGGGGTGGGCCTCACTGAGACAAAATATAATGTAACACAGCACATTATATTTTAGATAAAGCTCTTTATGAGTATAGAATATGTTCTTACTTCTTCATAGAATGAAGAATATAACTTCACTCAGGAGGAAAAAAACACTTAAAGTGCTACTTACAGAAATTTTAGAGTGTGCTGTGCATTTATCTAAAATCATTATAGTTTTCTTCCATGCCTGCAACATTGGTCATTAATCTTTGCAGTTGGCCAAGTGGAAACCTAACACACCACCCATGTGTAGCACTATTTCATTGATAATTAGAAACACATTTTAAAGTCCAGCTTACTGAATTGTTGAGCAACTTACTCTCTTTGATCCATACATCTCAATCTAGCAACGATCAGAGATGTTTACTGCATTACTTATAGCTGCATCATCATTTTTCAAAACAAGAAAGCATAAAGATGTATTTCAATTGCAGTTGAAAATACTATGAAGGTTATTAAATGCGCACAGAAATGGCATCCTGAGTGTACTCAGAATTTCAGTGAATTAAGATCAATGCTCTTCTTGTGGATCAATCACACTCCTTAATTTTGGGGTTCAGCTGGCACTTTCCAGTCACCAAAAATTACATCCCCAAAAAGGACCCCCAAATTACATCCATGTAATGATAGCTGAAAACTGTCAGGCACATCCCACGTTGTCAGAGGCAAAGGGGATTGCAGAAGCATCATCTTAGGAACACGTAGTGTATATATGTCTGAATTATTATGAAAAATCAAGCTGGAGATATTCAGAAGATCTAGACATGAATGGAATTCTACCACTTCCTAGCTGTGTGACCTTGGACTAGGAACATGCTTCATCCAACATAATGTTAATCATCTAGAAAATACAATAATAGTATGGTTGGCTCTACTAACACACCACATTCCTATAGAGTTTAAATGAAACTATGCATATGAACGTGACATTCCAGTTCTAAGTGCTGTGTGGGAGAGAACTTGACTATCTACTGCTAGTCAAGTCCAATTTCACACTCATCTCTAAACCCCTAACTCTCCGACTCCTGGTCCTTAGTGTGACTCTCTGTCTTGGGCTCCACATCAAGCCTGGTCCTGCCCTGAAGTTCTGTAAGGTGATGCTCCCACCAAAGTGGGTCCAGTGGAGGGGGCTGCACATCTCCCCACTTCCCTGCCCTTCGTTTTCCATGGAAGTTTGCCAGGCTGTTGTATCTGCAGATTAAGAGAAGGGAGGCACCACGGAGCACAGCACATACAGCAGGACCAAGGGGAATGAGAGGAACTTTACAACAGCACTAGGTGCCTCTGCACTTAACAAGTTTATCACACAAATCCCACTCGGATCAGGATTTTCCTTCAGGCTAGAAATTGGTGAGATGTGTTAGATCATGACCTCTCCTTCTGTCTTGCCTTCCTCTAACCTACGGTCTTCAAATTCCTATTTATTCCCTTGCCACCAGAGTCAGCTGTGAGCCTCTCTCTGAATAACCCAGTCTGTGCCCTTAGCAATAAATCAATGTTTTTGAATTATTTTATAAAAAGACATGGGTGTGTATGTGTATTTAGTGGTTGTTTTGGAGTTATTAAGGTTTGATACTGAGTTCACACACACACACAAAATGACAAGCTAATCATATTTATAAATATTTATGCAAAAGTACTAAATAAAATCTTATGAAACAATAATTTACATGTTAAAAAAACCAAAATCATAAATATACAGTCTTTAATCCCAGGTTGCAAGGATGAGTCAACTTTAAGAAAGGTAAAGTTATCATTGTCTTTATTAATTAGATCTAACACAAAAATTGTATGATTATTCTCATAGATGCTTAAAAGATAACTGACAAAATTAAAAACCCATTCTACACAGAAATCATTCAATGATATAGGAAAAACTGACAACTGGAAAATGATTTTCATATTTACATTTAATTACATTCTTTTCAGATTTTTCATTTTCATTTCATTTGTATCTTACAGATTTGTACGTTTATGTACATTCTTACATGCTTCTAATAAAGTACATATCAATCTTTATATACCCACATTTAAAACAAGCTTCTGGGGGATCCGTTTACTATGCTTTTTCCAAAGTTAAACTGTCATGAAGCCAAAAAGGGAGGAAACCACTCTAGGTCACCACCAGCTGTGATATCACAAAGCACCACAGTGATGCAACACAAGCCAAGCCCATATAAATAGGCTGCTGGCTGGGCTGAGGTTTTGGTCCGTTAGTGTCCGGGAAGCCGAATTGGTGGTAACCCATTGGATCAGGACTATTTGCATTGTTTCTTTTCGTTACTATTTTTTTCCACCATGCCTGAGGACTTCAGAGCCTCCCCTGACAAGGAGTGCCGTATTGGGGGCTACGTGCTGCTCAGCACAATAGGCAAAGGGTCCTTTGCTAAAGTCATGCTGGCGCGCCACATCGTGACAGGTGCTGAGGTGGCAGTAAAAATTACCAACAGGCAGGGCTCCTCTCTGGCTTATCGAGAATGCCAAAGCTTGAAAAAGTTGAACCACCCAAATGTCATCAAACTGTTTGAAGTAATTGCCACGCAAGATCATTATTATTTTTTCATGGAGCACCTGAGCGGTGGTGAGTTACAGGATTATCTGGAAAAGTATGGTGCCCGGACAGAAGAGGAGGCCCGCACACTCTTCAGACAACTCCTGTCGGCCCTGCACTATTGTCACCAAAAGGGGGTCGTACACAGAGATCTGAAGCCCGAGAACATCCTCCTAGATGCTGACCACAACATCAAGTTAGCTGATTTTGGCCTCAGCAAGGAGTTTTCAAAGAGCAAGCTGACCTCATTCTGTGGCACCGTGACCCACATAGCCCCGGAGATCCTGAGCAACCGGCCCTATGACGGCCCGAAGGCCGACATCTGGAGCCTGGGCGTCATCCTTTACAACATCGTGACGGGCAGGCTCCCCTTCGACGGAGACAACTTTGGGGAAGTGAAGAAACGGGTGTTGAGGGGGCACTTCCTGCTACCACGTTTCGTCTCCGAGGAGTGCCAAAACCTGCTCAGGAGTATCATGACCCTTGACCCCACTGAGAGGCCAACTCTGGAGGATATTATCAAGGACCCCTGGGTCAACAAAGGCAGCAAGGAGGGAGTGAAGCTGCACTGTGAGCCACCTAGCGGTGATATCGACCATCAGATCACCGAAAAAATGAAACATCTGGGGTACGACCAGGAGGAGATCAGGGAGTCGGTAGCCCTAAAAACATTTAATAACATCATGGGGACATATTTAATTCTCCACAGTACAAACATGAAAATGACCGGCCACACTGTGAAAGTAAGACCTTGCTCCTTCCCTGGTCAGAGACAACATCATTCCAAAACCCCAGAGCTTCAGGCAGTGGGACAGAAAAGGAACAGGCCGGCCAGTCGACCCACCAATGTGGCAGCGAAGGTGGCCGTCCCTGCCACCAGCGTGGCACCAAGGGAGACTGTCCCCAGCACAAGTGGGTCAGTGAGGGTGGCTGTCCCTGCCACCAGCGTGGCACCAAGGGAGACTGTCCCCAGCACAGGGGTGTTCGGCAAGGGAGACTGTCCCCAGCACAAGTGGGTCAGTGAGGGTGGCTGTCCCTGCCACCAGCGTGGCACCAAGGGAGACTGTCCCCAGCACAAGTGGGTCAGTGAGGGTGGCTGTCCCTGCCACCAGCGTGGCACCAAGGGAGACTGTCCCCAGCACAAGTGGGTCAGTGAGGGTGGCCATTCCGTCCACAGGAGTGGAAGTGAAGCTGGCTGTTCCATCTGCCAGCTCACAAGTGGAGGTGGCCATCCAATCCATCAGTGTAAACACAGAGCTGGCTGTTCCATCTGCCACCTCAGAACCACAGGTGGTCACTGAACCCACCAGTGTACACACGGAGCTGGCTGTTTCATCTGCCAGCACAGAACCGGAGGTTCTCACTGAATCCACCAGTGTACACACGGAGCTGGCTGTTTCATCTGCCAGCACAGAACCGGAGGTTGTCACTGAATCCACCAGTGTACACACGGAGCTGGCTGTTCCATCTGCCAGCACAGAACCGGAGGTTGTGATTAAATACACCAGTGTACACACGGAGCTGGCTGTTCCATCTGCCAGCTCAGAACCGGAGGTGGTGATTGAATACACCAGTGTACACATGGAGCTGGCTGTTCCATCTGCCAGCTCAGAACCGGAGGTGGACATCACAACCACCAGCCTGGAATCGGGGGAGGATGTCTCCACCACCGGTGGAGAAGGGAAGGGGGCCATAAAAGAACAAAGTGGCCAATCAAGGACACTCTCCTGCCCTGGGTCTAGGGCTGCCACTCCCAGGCCTGCCTTGCATCACAGTTCTTTGGGGTCCTTCACCACTGCCACCTCAGCCCTCCACAATGGCTCTTCAGGCTCCCTCACCACCCCAGGCAGCAGAGAGAGCACCACCAGGAGCACCAAAAACACCAGGAGCACCAACAGCAGCCAAAGCTCTTCCTCCCACCATGGCAAGGGCCGGCAGCAGGGACCTAGAAGGGTCCTGCATTTCTTCCTTAAAATTTTCTGCTGTCGGCCCTCCCCCTCTATGGACAAACACCATGACAATAAACTAAAAGCCCACAGAAAATTGTCAACAAAGTCATGGAGGGCAAAGATAGGGCCACAATAAAATTAAAATTATGGGAAGAAAAAGCTGAGCAGTAAGGGGTTGCCCAACTGCTCCAGGATGGCTCTTCTGGCTCCCAGACAACTGCCACCTCGGCACTCCAAAATGGCTCTTTGGGCTCCCTCACCACCTTCAGCCTGACCTTCTGGTATGGCCCTTCTGGCTACCTGACCACCACCAGCCTGGCCTTCCAGAACGGATCTTCAGGTTCCCTCACCACTCCTAGGTGAGAACTCAACAAGAGCTCTCCAAGCTCCCTCACCACCACCAGCAGAGCACTCCACAATGGCTCTGGGGCTCTGTCACCGACCCAGGTGACCCCTCCACAATGGCTCTTTGGGCTCCCTCACCACCACCACCAGAAGAGCACTCCTCAATGCCTCTTGGGGCTCCGTCACCGACCCAAATGAGCCCTCCAGCTGCTCTTCGGGCTCCCTCACCACTCCTAGGTGAGCCCTCCACAATGGCTCTTCACGCTCCCTCACCACCACCAGGGGAGCACTCCACAATGCCTGGTGGGGCTCCATCACCACCACCAGGTAGGCCCTCCAGAATGCCTCTGGGGGCTACCTCACCACGCTCAGCTTGGCCTTCCAGAATGGCTCTTCAGGCTCCCTGACCACCAACCCTCAGCCTGACCCTCTGGGATGGCCCTTCTGGTTCCTTGACTACAACCAGCTTGGCCCTCCAGAATGGCTCTTCTCCCTCCCTCGCCACACTCAGGTGAGCACTCACAATGGCCCTTTGGGCTCCCTTCCACCCACAGGTGAGCACTCCAGAAGAGCCCATTGGACTCCCTTTCACCCCTAGGTGAGCACTCTATAATGGCTCTTCAGGCTCCCTCACGACCGCCAGGAGAACACTCCACAATGGCTCTTGGGGCTCCCTCATCACCCCCAGGTGAGCACTCCAGAAGAGCCCATTGGGCTCCCTTTCACCGTAGGTGAGCACTGCACAATTGCTCTTGGGGCTCCGTCACCAACCCCAGGTGACCACTCCAGAATGGCTCTTCAGGTTCCCTCACGACCACCAGGAGAGCACTGCACAATGGCTGTTGGGGCTCTGTCACAGACCCAGGTGAGCCCTCTAGTATGGCCCTTCTGGCTCCCTGACCACCACCAGCTTGGCCCTCTGGAATGGCTCTTCCAGCTCCCTCACCATCCCAAGGTGAGCACCCCAGAATAGCCCATTGCGATCCCTTCCCCCCCCAGGTGAGCAATCTACCGTGGCTCTTCAGGCTGCCCTACCACCACCAGCTCAGCCTCAAGAATGGCTCTTTGAGCTACCTCACCACCACCAGCTGAGCACTCCTGAATGGCTCTTGGGGCTATCTCACCGGCCCCAGGTGAGCACTCCACAGTGGCTCTTGGGGCTCTGTCACAAACCTTCCAGGATGGCTCTTTGGGCTCCCTCATTACACTCTGCCTGACCCACTGGTATGGTCCTTCTGGTTTCCTGACCATCACCAGCTTGGCCCTCCAAAATGGCTCTTCTGGCTCCCTAACTGATCCTAGGTGAGCACTCTGGAATGGCTCTTCCAGCTCACTGCCCAACCCAAGGTGAGTACCCCAGAAAGGTGCAATGGGATCCCTTCAACCCCAGGTGAGCAGTCCACAATGGTTCTTCAGGCTCCCTCAACATCACCAGCTGAGCACTCATGAATGATTCTTGGGGCTACCTCACCAGCCTAAACTTGACCCTCCGGAAATAATCTTCAGGCAACCTCACTTCTCCTAGAGAAGCACTCCACAATGGCTCCTCAGGTTCCCTCACCACCACCAGGAGAGCACTCAACAATGGCTCTTGGGACTTCATCACAGAACGAGGTGAGCCCTCCAGGATGGCTCTTGGAGCTATCCCACCACGCTCAGCTTGGCCCTCCAGTATGGCTCTTCTGGCTACATCACCACTCCTAGGAGAGCACTCCACAATGGTTCTTCCGGATTCCTCATCACTCCCAGGTGAGCACTCCACTATGGCTCTTCAGGCTTCCTCACGACCACAAGGAGAGCACTCCACAATGGTACTTGAGGCTCTGTCACCATCCTAGGTGAGCCCTTGGAATGGCTCCTCGGGTTAACTCACCAGCACCAGCTCAGCACACTTGAATGGCTCTTGGGGCTACCTCGCCCCCTGAACTTGGCCCTCCAGAGTGGTTCTTTGAGCTACCACACCACCACCAGATCAGCACTCCTGAATATCTCTTCAGGCTACCTCATCACCCTAAACATGGCCCTCCAGAAAGGCTCTTTGGGCTTCCTCACTGCACCTAGGTGAGAACTGCACAATGGTTCTTCAGGATCCCTCACCACCACCAGCTCAGCACTCCTGAATGGCTCTTGGGGCTCCGTCACAGATGGCTGAGCCCTCCAGAATGGCTCTTCAGGCTCCTCACCACCCCCAGAGTGCACTCCACAATGGCTCTTGGGGATTCATTACCAACCAAGGTGAGCGCTCCAGGATGGCTCTTTGAGCTGTTTCACCACACTGAGCTTGGTCCTGCAGAATGGCTCTTCAGGCTACCTCACCACCACAAGCTCAGCACTTCTGAATGGCTTTTGGGCCTACTTCACCACCCTAAACTTGGCCCTCCAGAATGGTCTTCGAGCTCACTCACCACTCCTGGGTGAGCACTACACAATGGGTCTTGGCTCTCCATCACCGATTCAGGTGAGCCCTCCAGAATAGTCTTCAGACGCCCTCACCACTCTTAGGTGAGCACTCCACAATGGCTCTTGGGGCTTCATCAACAACCAAGGTGAGCCCTCCAGGATGGCTCTTTGGGCTATCTCACCATGCTGAGCTTGGCCCTCCAGAATGGCTCCTTGGGCTACCTCACCACCACCAGCTCAGCACTCCTGAATGGCTTTTGGGGCTACCTCACCACCCTAAATTTGGCCCTCCAGAATGGTTTTTGGGCACCCGCACCACTCCTAGATGAGCATTCCACAATGGCTCTTCAGGCTCCCTCACCATCACCAAAAGAGCACTCCACAATGGCTCTTGGGGCTTCATCACCAACCAAGGTGAGCCCTCCAGGATGCTCTTCAGGCTATCTCACCATGCTGAGCTTGGCCCTCAAGAATGGCTCCTCAAGCTACCTCACCACCACCAGCTCAGGACTCCAGAATGGCCCTTCTGCCTCCCTCACCACTCCTAGGTGAGCACTCCAGAATGGTGCTCCCAGCACCCTCACCACTCCTGGATGAGCACTCCACAATGGCTCTTCAGACTGCCTTACCACCACCAAAAGAGCACTCCACGATGGCTCTTGGGTCTCCTTCACCGATTCAGGTGAGCCCTCCAGAATAGTCTTCAGGCTCCCTCACCACTCCTAGGTGAGCACTCCACAATGGCTCTTGGGGCTTCATCACCAACCAAGATGAGCCCTCCAGGATGGCTCTTTGGGCTTCATCACCAACCAAGGTGAGCCCTCCAGGATGGCTCTTTGGGCTATCTCACTACACTGAGCTTGGCCTCCAGAATAGCTCTTTAGACTACCTCACCACCACCAGCTCAGCACTCCTGAATGGCTTTTGGAGCTAACTCACCACCCTAAATGTGGCCCTCCAGAATGGTTTTCTGGCTCCCTCACCACTCCTAGATGAGGATTCCACAATGGCTCTTCAGGCTCCCTCACCACCACCAGGAGAGTACTCCACAATGGCTCTTGGGGCTTCAACACCAACCAAGTTGAGCCCTCCAGGATGGCTCTTTGGGCTATCTCACCACACTGAGCTTGGCCCTCCAGAATGGCTCCTCAGGCTACCTCACCACCACCAGCTCAGGTCTCCAGAATGGCTCTTCTGCCTCCCTCACCACTCCTAGGTGAGCACTGCACAATGGCCCTTCAGACTGCCTTACCACCAATAGGAGAGCACTCCACAGTGGCTCTTGGGGCTCCATCACCGACTCAGGTGAGCCCTCCAGAATGGCTCTTTGGGCTACCTCACCACCCTAAACTTGGCCCTCCATAATGGTTTTTGGGCTCCCTCACCACTCCTAGGTGAGCACTCCACAATGGCTCTTGGGGTTTCATCACCAACCAAGGTGAGTGCTCCAGGATAGCTCTTTGGACTACCTCACCACCACCAGCTCAGCACTCCTGATTGGCTTTTGGGCCTACCTCACCACCCTAAACTTGGCCCTCCAGAATGGTCTTCGAGGTCACTCACCACTCCTGGGAGAGCACTCCACAGTGGCTCTTGGGGCTTCATCACCAACCAAGGTGAACCCTCCAGGATGGCTCTTTGGGCTATCTCACCACGCTGAGCTTGGCCCTCCAGAATAGCTCCTTGGGCTACCTTACCACCACCAGCTCAGCACTCCTGAATGGCTTCTGGGGCTACCTCACCACTCTAAACTTGGCACTCCAGAATGGCTCTTTGGACTACCTCACCACCACTAGGAGAGCACTCCACAGTGGCTCTTGGGGCTCCATCACCGACTCAGGTGAGCCCTCCAGAATGGATCTTTGAGCTATCTCACCACCACCAGCTCAGCACTCCTGAATGGCTTTTGGTGCTACCTCACCACCCTAAACTTGGCCCTCCATAATGGTCTTCGGGCTCCCTCACCACTCCTAGGTGAGCACTCCACAATGGCTCTTGGGGCTTTATCACCAACCAGGTTGAGCCCTCCAGGATGCCTTTTTGGGCTATCTCACCACACTGAGCTTGGCCCTCCAGAATGGCTCCTTGGGCTACCTCACCACCACCAGTTCAGCACTCCTGAATGGCTTTTTGGGCTACCTCACCACTCTAAACTTGGCACTCCAGAATGGCTCTCTAGGCTACCTCACCGCCACCAGCTCAGGATTCCAGAATGGCTCTTCTGCCTCCCTCACCACTCCTAGGTGAGCACTCACAATGGCTCTTCAGACTGCCTTACCACCAGCAGGAGAGCACTCCACAGTGGCTCTTGGGGCTTCATCACCAACCACGATGAGAACTCTAGGATCACTCTTTGGGCTTCATCACCAACCAAGATGAGCGCTCCAGGATGGCTCTTTGATCTATCTCACTACGCTGAGGTTGGCGTCCAGAATAGCTCTTTGGACTACCTCACCACCAACAGCTCAGCACTCCTGATTGGCTTTTGGGGCTACCTCACCACCCTAAACTTGGCCCTCCAGAATGGTCTTTGAGGTCACTCACCACTCCTGGGTGAGCACTGCACAATGGCTCTTCAGGCTTCCTCACCACCACCAGGAGAGCACTGCACAGTAGCTCTTGAGGCTTCATCACCAACCAAGGTGAACCCTCCAGTATGGCTCTTTGGGCTATCTCACCACGCTGAGCTTGGCCCTCCAGAATAGCTCCTTGGGCTACCTTACCACCACCAGCTCAGCACTCCTGAATGGCTTTTAGGGCTACCTCACCACTCTAAACTTGGCACTCCAGAATGGCTCTTTGGACTATCTCACCACCACCAGGAGAGCACTCCACAATGGCTCTTGGAACTCCATCACCGACTCAGGAGAGCCCTCCAGAATGGCTCTTTGGGCTAACTCACCACCCTAAACTTGGCCCTCCATAATGGTCTTCGGACTCCGTCACCACTCCTAGCTGAGCACTCCACAATGGCTCTTGGGGCTTCATCACCAACCAAGGGGAGCGCTCCAGAATAGCTCCTTGGACTACCTCACCACCACCAGCTCAGCACTCCTGAATGGCTTTTGGGGCTACCTCACCACCCTAAACTTAGCACTCCAGAATGGCTCTTTGGGCTCCCTCACCACCACCAGGAGAGCACTCCACAGTGGCTCTTGGGGCTTCATCACCAACCAAGTTGAGCCCTCCAGGATATCTCTTT